GTACGTAATGGGCGACTAATTAGGAAGGTTGGGCTTGAGATACGGATTGTATTATGGCAGCACCCCAAAAGGTGGCATGAGATACAAACACAATAGCGGCAGACAATATGTACTAATTAGGAAGAAATTACCAAACATGCAGATAAATGGCCGTGTGGGACAGGCACCACTCTGTTGGGTTTACCACAAGGATAAATGCCTTCTGTTGTTGGCTAAAGTCTTAGAGTCTTTCATGGTAAATTACTGTTCCTAAAAGGGGTATATTAGGAGGAAACATGTGATATCAGTTGAAGCCAGAGAGTTTAAATAGATAGCTTTCTAGTTAGGCTATAGGTATGACATCTAGTGTAAAACCCTTAGCATAGCACTAATGCTTTGGGCAAACTACTTAAATAGGCAACCAAAAGTTGTATGTGTGACTAGTTGTACTCTTATGATACTAATGTAATATGTAAGCCAGTCTTCAGACATATGGCCTACCCGTTTGAACTAATAAAGTGCCAGGAACCTAAATGATCACCTCAATATTAAAAAAAATAACAATAATAAACAAAATAATTGTAATTTTAATTAATAAATAAAAATTTCTTAATTTAATCTAGTTTGTAATCAGTGATATAAATTGGATCTGCGCAGTAGGTACAGCACATATAAATTTAAATTTGTGCATATATTATTAAAAATAATTGGTGCTCTTTATACACCATATATGTCTCATATGCACAAATTTTGCCTCATGCGCGCAAATTTTGCCTCATATGCGTGAATATTTGCCTCATATGTGCAAATTTTGCTCCATATACGCGAAAATTGTCTAATTTTGCCCATACGTGTAAAAATTTGCCTCATACGCGCAAGACTATATATCACAGATCAATGATCATCCAATAATTAATGCTGATCGGTGCTTTATAAAATATAATTTTTTTTTAGTTTCAAAGATCCCGCAGCCATAAAAGCTTTTATTATGATTGACAATGCTAAAGGAATTACCACGTAAAAATACGACAGTATGTGATAACAGGGTAAAGATCTTAAAAGTATTGGAGTATTAAAGTTTTGTATTTATATCCAATAAGACCTTGGTTTTTGAGATCTGCAAGCACAAAAACTTTTATCAATGATGCCAAAGGAACCACCATGTAAAAATATACAAAGATCTTAAGAATAGCTTCGGTATTGTGGTATGAAATTTTCATGTTTATATTCAACAAGATTTTGTTTTTAATGATCCAAAAACAAGGTTAAATAACAGACTTAACTTCCACTAGAGACTTGTGGTTTAATTGATTTAACCACCCAGATAACTTATTTTACATATTTTAAATTGCTTTTTTGACTGCATAATATTTTGTTACTAAAAAATACAAAATTTAATTATTTTTTATATTAATCTTATAGGAATTGTTGGGTAAGTTAGTATAGATGTGATTTAGATCAAATACATGTGAGAAATATTGTTTAACTTAATACAGTAATATGGGCTAAAGATTGTAATGACAGAGCAATACATATAATAAAATTACTATATACAATATATAATTCAAAGTAAAGCTTCGTTTATGATTGGTTTGCGATCATGTTTTAATCAAGAAATCAAATCTGCCGTGTGAATTTAGCATTTCTATATCGAAAAGCACGCACAAATATATTAATTGGAAGCATCTGTGATTTTTTATTGAGAATTTGTAGCATATATCATAGCAACTATAATTGCTCAGATAACATTGTTATTAGCTGAATTCGTGCTGTATAGCATTAGCCGGTGGTTTCCCACACTGACAAAAATAGCAGAGATGGGAAAATTCAGGTACAAATTTCTCTCCTTGTGTCTGAAAAAATGGTATTTGCTGTAATAGCTATTCTTATATTCGACCTATCGCTATCAATTATAATTATCTAATTGGTTCTGAAATAGAAAACTATTTAAATCATACTTATCTTGAACACATGTGTTTAATTGTATGCCTGATTTGATCAAATTAACTATCGGTACTTGTTTCAACTAGAATCCTGACTTGCACAATCTGGAAGAGTTACTTTTGGTACAGTATATCTTTGTCTTGCCATTTTTTCGATCTGTTGACCATTTTTTTAATCAACAATGTTTAGTTCTAAAAAAAACAAAAAAAGCATAAAATGATTTTTTTCTTCCACTGAATTAATGAATAAAAAAAAAAAAAATTACAAGAAAAAAGTAAAGATCAAGAAGAATTATCTTCTAGTTCAAATACAGAACAAGTATCAGATACAGAACAAGTATCAAATACAGAACAAATATCAGATATAGAGCAAGTATCAGATACAGAACAAGTATCTACCAAAAGATTTCATATTCGTAAAGACCCAAATCAAAATTGGTTTAAAATATATCCATGGTTAAAAAAAGAAGTAGTTGAAAATAAAGTTGTATTATTTTGCACAATATGTAGAGAAAGAAATGGAAAGACAGTATTTGCAGTAGGTACAACAAAA